CTGTATTCTGTTTGATGTTTCAGCGCTCTAATGTGCAGTCAGCAGCTTTTGAAACAACCAGCACTGAGCATTCATGCTACAGTAAAATGACCAGTTTTAAAATGTTTATATTTTTAACAAATCTAAGTAATATTTTGCAGCATTAACTTCCTGTCTTACAAGATATGACAGTGTTGCAGTTTCTGGTAAATTTCACCATTTCTATTATCACCATTGTCCCATCATCATCTGATAACTTTTTTTTAAAAAATTTGAACATGCAGACAGTCTGAAGAGGAAAGCCCAGCTTATAAGATGAAGTTAATATCCGCCGTTGCATGAAATCTCCAACGAGGGTTTTAGACTTTGCTGAGCCAGCTAACATTGTGTTGAGCTAACCTTTATGTACCCGTCTACAACCTAGACCAGAGTTGCTGCAACAGATTTACTATTATTTCTCAATTTGTGTGAGTAGCAAGCTCTTATTAGTGCATCAGTTTGATATTTTGGGAAATGACACAAAGTCTGGCCATTAAACTGTCCTACATACAAAAAAGTGTTAAATCTTATTTTTACACTTTACATCAGATGAGACAACACGATTTGTTGGTGAGCATTAGCAGTGTGCCTTTAGCTTCACTTTTACAGTACAGAAGTATTATCAACTTAGTGGTATTTTTTTTAGTTACCTAATTCTGAAAATGCTGTCAGTTTCCCTTTAGGCAGCAAGTTTTTATTTTTATTATTTGTCTACCAGATATTCACTCTCGCCAACTTGAGGCAGACTATTCAGTAACTTCTCACTGACTAGTCACTTACTTTGTGTGTCACATAGCAGAATGTCTGTTGTGCCTAAAACGGTTCAGAAAATGCGATGAGCACTTCAGTTGTGGCACATCATGTGACAGCAGCTGCTTAGTGCAGCTTAAGATGCACTTTGCACTGAAGCGTTGTGGTTTTGTGCTTTTTTTGAAATAGGAAAATACAAATTCGCAGAACTGTCAGCCGTAGTGCTGAAGGTGCCTTCTGAAATCAAGGTATGTTTGCAGGTGAAACTAAAATGGCAGTTGGACATCTAATTATGACTTAAGAGCTCGTCTTTTTATTAATATCTTTGGCTCAATGCACATGTAAACATTTCGATGTCAATTGCAGACTAATGTTGGGCTTTTACAAACAGAGTTGGCCAATGTGATTATGCATTTAAAATAAGAAGTGGACAAGTCCACTCCTTATTTTAAAGTATGACTTTAAAACACAAATCCAACAACGAGAACTTTTTTTTTTTTTTTTTTTTTTAAAGCTGCAGCTGCTGGTCGTATGTAGTCGAGGTAGTATTGCATTCATAAAGGGAATAGCATCCTTCTCACCTTCCTGTTGCTCGCCACAAATTTGTGATGTTGTTCGGTGAGTTTCAGACACATTCCCATGCACACCACTGTTTCACTACTTTTAACCATTTGGATCCTTCCACATTCTGTCACCACAGGGATAGAATGTGGAAAGGCTTTTTTTTCTTTTTCTTTTTTAATTTCCTCACCTGTTTTAATTTTTTGCCTCGATCAAAGATTGAACCCTCTTTCCTGCAGTGGTCTCATCCATCACTTCATTTCCAACCTGTGAAGTTTGCACTCCCGCTGCATTTTTCACATTTTTAATTTGGCATTTCTTTCCACACATCCTTGGTAGGAGAACGGGTCACTAAGGGTGTGTGTGTGTGTGTGTGTGTGTGTGTGTGTGTGTGTGTGTTTGGATTAAGATTGAGTTACATAGCTGGATTGTGTAATTGTGAGGTGTGTCTCTTCTGCAGGGAGCAGCTCTGCTGTTTCCATTGTTGGGAGAGTTGAACTTGGAACTGACGGCACTGCGGTGTTGTCGTGCAGTGCTGCGTTTCACAGGAGAGTGGAGACTGTGCGAGGTTGTGCTGCTGACTCAACAATAAGAGCACACTGTGCAGCATGTACAGGTTTACCCTAAATAAGGGATTAGTCAGTTGTTGGCTGCGTTTTGATCTGGGCTGTGTTTGGTTTCAGTTACAATCATTTAAAGCCTTGCCTGTTCTTGTTGTGACATGTCAGATAGGAGTTACTCAGTCGTAGTATATGAACGTAGTGTATAACGTTGCTTTTCTTACAAATCAAGGTTTTCTGGCTTGTACAGGGCAAAGTTACTTACGATGTGATTCTGTGGTAAATGTATAGATCCTTATTTCCATTTTTTGCCAAAAAAAGCTAACAACCTTTTCGTTGGGGCTTCAAACCTTAACCTTAAAGCTTACCTGCTGGAGACGGCTCAGTAGCTAAGGATGCGTTAGATAAGTTGATTAATCAGCTAGTTAATGCAAGAAATGCCACTCATGTATTTCAACAAAGCTGATTAGATGTGCACGTAGTCTGAGATGTTCTGAACAACAACAAAAAAGTGATGCGACTCGCTTCCAGCAATTACTTCTCTGATAATGTAAATTGATTTCAGTTTAATTGAATAGGAAAATAGTTGCTGTGCACTCAAACTTATTTTCTGCAGCACGACACTGAAGCATCAGAGGACTGAAAGGGGAGGTGACCTGTTTATCCACAGCTTGCGTGGGGGCAAATCTTGCATACTGCTTTATCTTTGTTGGCTGGGTCAACTTTATTATCGCAGCTTAGCCCTGTTTGGGAACAGCGTTATCTTTCTAGGATTATAAAATAAGTGTGTGTTCGGAAACTGCCCTCTGAGTGCATGCTTTGTAGTGCATTGTAATAAGTCAAGTCAACATGTCTGCATTAGTTTAACAGGAAGAAGAGCCTCTGTATTTTTGATAATATTGGAACGTCACATGACAGGACAATCTATTTAGATGCTGCTTTCAGTACATAGATTTGATGAAGGTTAGTGGCGTTAATAAAGTGCTCATTTGTATTGGTGCAAAGTCAGTTTGAACTTGCTGCCCTACCTTTTCACTGTGAAAGAATATAACGGTAAAAAGCAGGATGTTTTCTTTTCTTTAAATGCTCAGTAGGGGTGTTTAGTTTATTTAGGTGATTTTAATGAATTATTTATTGATACCTTACAATTTCCATTCCATATTAGGTATCACATTTTGTTTGGCCACTAGATACAAAAAGCTTTTCTGGTGATTTAACCCCAACCCTGGGGGGGGGCGGGGGGGGAAACCAGTGCTTTTTTTTACCGCTATAGTGCTGTATATCTCTGTACAAGGGTGTCTAGCAATGGTTTGTTCGCACTGGTGTTTGACTCTGTTAAGACAGCGCAAATGCATAGATGTTCTGACTGTAATTTGAGCTTGACCTGTGATGGACAGCAACACCGGGATAAGCTACAAGGGACAAAAGCCACAGCTATTTTGCATGATAAACATATTTGTCACTGTTTTCCAGTAATAGTCTGATTTATAGCCATAGTAAAATGCCCCTGTTAAAATCGATGATTTAGTACATCTATAATTGTCCTTTGTGCAGAGCAGACCAAAGTAAAGTAGTTTGGCCATAATGCACAGAACCACATATGGATAAAAACCAAACATGTATTTGCTCAAACGTGGTGGTGGTGGAGTTGTGTTGATTTATTTTATTTTTTTTAGATGTGGACACCTTGCAGTTCCCGAGTTGACCACGTACTCATCAGTATACCAAAGTATTCTAGAGTCAAATGTGAGGTCATATGACAGCCAGCACTGAGTGATGCAACAGCACAATGATCCCAAGCACAGCCGGTTACTTTTGTTGGAAAAGGAAAAAAGAATCGAGGTGTCGCAATGGTTCAGTCAAAGTCCAGACCTCAACCTGACCGGGAATTAAAGAGAGCGGAAATGACTGCCTGCAAGCTGCAATGAACTGAAACAACCATGTAAAGAAATTCCTACACTGTGATGTGAGAGACTAATAAAGTAAAATGGCAAATCATGACTTTAAGTTATAAGGTCTACTTAGTATTTACCTCATCTTTAGACCTGGTAAATACTTGGTTATTTTGTCATCCAAATATTGCTTTACTTCCTTCTTACCTTAATCTTGTCAAACTATATTATTTTAAATGTTTATTCTCTAAATGCTAAAAATTTTAAGTTAAATATTTGCTGTCTATGTTGGATATCATTTCACTATAACCAGTTTCTGTAGTTTGTTAATAAATGCTTATCACTGATTTTGAACTGTTATGCATAATTTAATGTTTGCTCAAACTTACTACTTTTTCTCCAGAATGTAGATGTGCATCCAGAGAAGTCCCCAGGCTTTCAGACGTCTGGATAACTCCAGTCCTCACCTGCACAGCTAATGGCATGCCGATCTCCAAACCTCCCAATGTGGCGAGTGTCAGTGGTGCCCTAATCCTCCTCCTTCTACTCTGCGTCTGCAACACCACCCTACTCTTTCTACTCATCAACGTTTTTCTCATCCCACACCCCGCTCACGCCTCAGGATGGGTAACATAACCGGTACCTGCCATGACAATGAGACCATCGACTTTTTCTACAACAACAGTGGAAAAGCCATTAATACTCAATGGAAAAAGCGTGACGTTCTTATTGTCACGCTGGGCTTGATTGTTTGCTTCATTGTTATTTTTTCCAACTTTTTGGTAGTAGCGGCCATTTTCAAAAACAGACGGTTTCACTTTCCCATCTACTACTTGTTGGGTAATATGGCTTTGGCAGACCTTTTTGCAGGTAAATTTTTTCCCATTTATTTTTGTAAAACCATTTGTGAAATAACTTAAGTTCACAGAAAACCCTTCACAAAGAGAAAGTAGAGCAAAATAGAAACACATTCTCACAGTTGTTTCCATTGAAAAGCAACAGTGATCTCTTAAACGCAAACCATGAATGCCAAGTTGGGGATTCTTGGACAGTCAGGCAACCTTTTGAGTTTGATTTAATAGTACTCCTGACTATTTCAACTAAGTTTGTACTGATCACAGCGATAGCATGTTACCGCGATGAGTCTCTGACATCCTCTTATTTCATGTAAAGATTGTTCATTGTCCTGCTCTGGTAACAACGATAGACTCGACTCAGAATGTAACAGTGTAAATAGTTTACCTCTGTTTAAAAGATCTCCTCACTTTCCTCCTCCTAGGTTTTGCGTATCTCCACATGATGTTTCATACTGGTCCCTGGACTATAAAACTATCACCGAACCAGTGGTTTACTCGTCAGGGGTTGATAAATACCAGCCTGACAGCCTCGGTCCTCAACCTCCTATTCGTGGCTGTGGAGCGCCACCAGACTATCTTCAACGTCCAGCTACACAGCAGCATGAGCACTCGGCGTGTTTTCATAGTCATGCTATTAATTTGGCTGGTGGCAATAATCATGGGCCTCGTTCCCCAAATGGGTTGGAACTGCACGTGCCATCTAAGTGAATGCTCCACCATGGCACCGCTATACCACCGCAGCTTCCTGATATTCTGGGCCGTTCTTAACTTGATGACCTTCTCCATCATGGTGGCCGTATATACCCGGATCTTTCTCTATGTGAGGCACAAGGGCAGGCAGATGTCACAGCACACTTCGACGACAAGACAGAGAGAAACCATGATGAACCTGATGAAGACAGTCTCCATGATCCTGGGTAAGGGAGTGCACACAATACATATCAAGTCAAATAGTTATGTTTGGGAGATAACTTTGCGTTTTTAGCTTCATTTAAAAACATCACGCTAACAGAAAAGCTTTTGAAGAACCCAAAATGATGATAAAGCGTGTGCCGACCTCAGCACGGCAGCCAGGCCGGTTCCTGTTACCTGTTCACTGCTTTTGAACAGGTAAAAAAAGCAGCAATGAGCAGTCGGGCTGCATCCTCCATTTCTACCTGTTCATGTTTCTACAGTAGAATCACCATGGAGATCACTTTAAAATATCTTTGAACTGGTTTTTCAGATTTTCTTTGTGTTGCTTATTTTGTGAAAACACTAAAAGAAAGCTCTTACATGTGTACTCATTAGGACAGGGATTTGTGTCAGTGCATTGCACTGTAGCCTAAGGTTTGTATTGTTAACTGGTAATTATGAGAATGCATTATGGACTAACATGAAAATAATAACAAGTTTTAGACTGCTCTCTGGCAAGTAATTACCGTAATATATATTGTAGAGTGTCTACCTTACAATATGAAATGAAACGCCTTGAAGGTGACTGTGATTTGGTGCTATATAAATACATTGAATTACTTTTGAGAAAATAATGGGGTGTGTGTGTGTGTGTGTGTGCTGAACATTTGTTGTGAAGGACTCACAACCAACCAACCAAAACATTCCAAAAGATGTGATGCTAATTCACTCCCGAATATTAAAAATCTCTGTGTGCAAGGGACGAGGCTGAAAATCACTGACCTGTAAATCAGTTCAGTTTGTTCTCACGCTTAACTCTGTCACAGTGTAGACACCAGTCTGTCCTCTGCTTCACTCAACACACTGACATACTTGAAGTAGCAACTTGGAGTGAGCATTCAAACTATTTCTGGATGAAAACCACGGCTTCAGATTTGGAGGTGTAGATTCTCATCCTGATCACTTTGCAATCAACTGCAAACTATCACAGTGCAAGCTGAAGGTCACCACCTGATGGTCAACAGAACAGCATCTGTGAAAGGCAGAGATGAGATCCTGAGACAACCATGGCTGTGCCTGGAAATTCTATTGATGATAAAAATTATGAACACTAAGTGTACATAATTTAAGTGACTAAGTGATCGCAGTGCAAACCATTGCCATCTACTGAATTCTACTGAAAGTTTAGTTGGAGAAAGTTGCAGAGGATAAAGTTTCCCGGGAAACGTTTATCTTGATCAAACACAGCCAGCCTTCTCGGCCCGTGCAAGCTCATCTCTTTTCTTGTCTGTTCCTGTAAAAATGGGCTTTACACACACATTACCTCCTCTCTTCCTGGTACTGATTTCTTCTTATTTTCTAATCTAGTCTCTCTCCTTTGCTGCTCTACTCTCACTGTCTCATTCTGATTTATTTTGATTTCAATTAAATTCCTCCAAATTTACCCCCCCCCAAAAAAAACCCCCCAAAAAACAAAAAAAACCCCACAAGTGTTTGTCCCGTCACTCAGCAGCCAGGATTCAGTTGCTCTGGCATGTGAGGAAGTTGAGGAAAAGCCAGAGCATGTCCTGACAGGGAGCTGCATAGTTTTGTTAGCATGACAGAAAACTGCTCGTTTCTGCCTGCATGACACTGCTGACAATTTGTACCTGCGAGCAACGTCATCAGGACAGTGAGGACATTTCCTCATTTTATCATTCTGAGAGACACATAAAGCCACTATGCACCTGAGTATGTGGTCTCACATCCTTTAACTGTTTTTGCAGCTGGTAGTTTTGCATATATTAGTGCTGAGCATGCTACCAAAGTCTGCAGATATTATACAGAACAGACTACTGAACTGGCTAATCTGTGTGGTGTGTGTGTTCCCTCATATGCTTCCCCCTACCCTTAGAAATTAACAGAGTTGTAAAGAATTTCTTTCTCCCCCCTGACTCTGTAGGCTGCTTTGTGGTCTGCTGGACACCCGCACTGGTTGTGCTACTGCTCGATGGTCTAAACTGTGACAGGAGTTTGGTGCTAGGCCCCGAGAAATACTGTCTGGTGCTGGCAGAGTGCAATTCCTTCGTCAACCCCATCATCTACTGCTTCAGGGACCAAGACATGAGGAGGACCTTCAAGGAGATCCTGTGCTGCAACTGGTCTCAGAGGCACAAGAACAGAGGCTTCTCTGAAGTTAAATTTCACACCGTGGAGCAAGAGGTACTGTCCGAGAGCAATGGAATCGATGACAGCAATCACAATCAAAACAAGCACATGCTCTAAGGACTGTTTATGATTTTAGGCCACTTGGTATCATGCTGACTGTAGTCAGATGATCTGTCCATCTAAATATTTTGAGAGAGATGTGCGACAGCAGCGTAGCTGAATGTGGCTCCTTGTTGTTGTTGTTGTTGTTGTTTTTTTATCTATCTATATATCCATTAGGGGTGCAACAATACACAAAATTCTCGGTTCGGTTCGATACTTTGGTGTCACGGTTCGATATTTTTGCAATACAAAAAAATGTTCATGCTTTTTTAATTTGTCATTTATTAAAATTATAAATGTATATTTTAACTCAAACGTACAGTTTTTAAATTTAATGTTGCTGAAACAACAAAGGGATAAAATAATAAATATCTGATCGAGAAATCACTCATCTTTGGAAAAAGAGAGTTTATTACAGAGAAATGGCTCTTTCCAAAATAAAAGCTATACTATACGCTTCTTCTGGGCTATATTCTCAGCAGCATATTAAACATATCAGGTCCCCATAAGGAGAATCATGTGCTAACGGCTGTCTAAATGACTCGGGTAAAGTTTGTAGCATGCTTGTTGTTTTTGTCTGCTTCAACTTGTCTTTCTAGGATGATGTCGACGTAAATGTGCGGTCATATTCATTTTGTTCCCACCAGTGCTGTCAGCACTAGTGGGAACTGGAATGACGTTAACGCCACAACACAGCAAATCTCCGTTAACGAGCTACCGCGGATCGTTGCACCCCTAATATCCAGATAGATAGATAGATAGATAGATAGATAGATAGATATTTGTTGTTTAATTTCCTGAATGTCATGCCTGCAAAAAGTCCAGTTTGTGCCAGGTTTTCAGTCTATATATACACACAGTTTACACACTGCATCCAGTAGTTTCATCCATCTGTCAGTGAGACCTGGCAAATCTGCAACATGCGACACAAATCAGGGAAGAGCAGACACGGCTAGTCTTTGCGCAGGCAGGCTGATCAGTTAGGTGTGCGATGTTTTTGTTTGTTTTTATTCTTATTTCAGTGCTTCTTACTGCAAAGAGCTGAAAAGACTCGTTAATTAATTGCTTATAAGTAAAATGTTGCAGAACCTCTCAACATCTCCCTCCAGTTAAAATTGAACAACAGGTTAGAAGCAGTTTGATCAGAGCCAGCTGCATAAAACTGTAAAAATGCAGCGTGCAGGGACAGTCTGTAAAGTGCTTCACATTACTGTCTCCACTCAGTTATACTGAGAACTTGGGTTGCGGAAAGATAACTTTTTAATTATTATTAGTATTATTGTTGTTGTGGCTTACTTTTTCCTTTTTTTTTTTTTTTTTTTTTTTTTGGGGGTGCATATTTTGGGGAAGTTTCTATTCGGAAAAACCACGTATCTTCACTGTAGTGCTCACTTCCCCAGTCAAAGCCTTTGTGCTGTTTTTTTTTTTCTTTTTTCATATATTCAGCTGAGAGCTTGTCTATGGTTGTATTATGTGAAAATTGTATTAGTCTTTAGAAGTGCACCAGAAACCGCAAGCACGGCGTTAATGTGCACTTTGCATACATGTGAGTTATTGTGTTCTTGTCTGTCTGAGCGATTGTAAACAAATGTGCTTTTTTTTGTTGCACTGCAGTATCAGTGTTGACTGGTCCAAGAGATGGTTTAGTTCATGGCGATTGGTCACATCACAGCATTTATTGAGGCGTAAACAAACACTGCACTTGTAGAATTTCTTTTAGTAAGGATGTGAGAAAAAACACATTCAGAGAAAACCTCCAACAGAGGTCCAAAACACAGAACTCATTCAACACAGTGACTTTGTGTCAAATGTTCCATAACTTAAACTTTGATATTCTACAATGTTTCTTTTTATTATTATTATTATTATTATTATTATTATTATTATTATTTAATCTAGGATCTGTTGGTTGTGTGCTTCCTTCTTTCAGTTCTTGTTTCTCACACTTTAATCCTGCCACTAAATTCTGTGTGGATTTGTGGCAGACTGTGTCAGAGTCAGTAATGTGGAAACTGGTAAAGCAAATGGCCTTTCTGTTTCTGTTCAGCTCACAGCTGCACACTCGTCACCATCATTCAGAAATCCCCCACTTCTTTTGTGTTTGCGCGTTGCACCTGGCCAAATCAGACTAAACTATGATTTATGTGGGGTCTTGTTTGCGACTGCTTTGCATTTACCTTCCGTTTCACTGTCAAATGTAAGCCGACTTTGCTAACTTTGGTATTAAATCTGAAAACGTGCGACATCTAAACCCATGCTCGAATGTGTACCGCACGTGTTGAGAGAGTACACACTGCTGTGTGATGCTGTTGATGGAGGAGGTCAAGAGCTGAAGAGTTGACAAGTGGGTGGAAGCTGGGAAGAAAGAGGCACACAGCCAAAGAGCAATGAAAGTGTTGGAATGCGAGCTAAAGACAGAAACAACAGGGCTGCAAAAATGTTATGTTGAGTTTGTTCATTGTTCAGTTGATTCTACAAAATGTTGGGAAAACTAAAGATTTACCTAAATAGCTACACAGTGCTGTAGGCAGTTTTTCTGTGTAAAAACAAAATTCAAAAATTAAGACGCAAACATAATTCACAAATTGACACTTAAAGTATTTTGTGAAGGGGGGAAAAAAGGAAAAAAACTGTGTCACTGTAAATGAGATACATACTTTGTTGCCTGATTTGAAATATGAGTTGACCCTTTTTTTTTTTTTTTTATTCAAAACATTTCATTTGTTCTACAGACAGGCACAATTAAACCCAACGTTTAGCTTCATCATTATTAGGATTTTTATGCGTGATATCTGTTTGTAGACTTATATAATTGTATGTAATTATACATGTATATTGCATATTGAGGTAGGATCAAATGAGTTTACCTTTAAGTCTGTACCAAAATAAATCAATCATTCAGTGAAAAAAATAAAGTATTTTGTAAATAGCCACTTTATTAGCCACTTAGCATGCTAATTAACTGCCACCAGTAGGGACATTACTGTATAAGCTTTCCTCTGTGTCAGTAGTGCTGAAATAAGCGTCTTTGACTGGATGTCTTATAGGAGTGCCTAAAATTATATTAATAATTGTTGATCATGCTGAAATTCTGTCTCAACATCTGTTAAACATGGACACTAAAACAAAATTGAAAAATAAAACAGGCAAACATGTATTCTGATAGATTTTAAGTTGCTACAATGATTTTAGACAGACTTTCAGGCTATTGGTGCAATTAACTGCACAGCAAGTCATGCTAGTTGTTAGATTATTCCATTCAAAAGTCCACCAACACAACTTTTTTTTTTTTTTTTTTTTATTTAAATTTGGAGTCTTTGCGGACTTACTGTCTTGGAATTGGCGTCAAGTGTCCATTTGAAGAACTGCAGTTTTTGGCACTTCGGCACTGACTTGATTTTTGCGTCGCAAAGTTTGTTGCTTAGTAAGAAACTCCTAACCCTAACCCTCCGATTTAGGTTTCTGATTTGCCGTCGTTAATATTTAAGCTCGATATCTCAAACTTCAAAGCTTAGAATTACGGTTTGAACCTTCAGTTCTGTCTTAACCTGTTCAAAATTTGGTTGTGTATGCGCAAAACATCTGTGTTCACACTGTGTCCCATCATTCATGCAGAATAAAGGCCACAAATATAATTCCATGCATATGCACTTTTATCCAGCCACCAAATTTTCCAGGCCAACTTTTTAACCGAAGGTCAAGGAGTGACCTTCACATAGCTCCTCAAAATCCCAATCAGTGAGGTTAAATCACCTCTCTGCCTTATGCTATAAACAGATTTGGTAATTACCCAAATGCCTGGAATTATCCTGTTGCCTGATGCAACTATTACTCTAGTTTATGCTGACCGTAACATTTCTGTGTCCTGTGTGCACTTCATTAATCCATGTGTTTTGTAGCTTGTATACGCTCATGTTGTGGTAGTGTTTAAACCAGTCCAGATGTGTGTTGGTGGTTAGCGGGTCATGATTCTTGCCACATTTCCTCTGACTCGTTACTCTGGCATGTGTGTTCAAAGAATACATTCTCGGTACAGAGGAAGTGCTGCAAGGAGTGTGTTATCTTGTTAGTGTGCACATGCATACTTGAGTGAGAAATAATTCACAGAAACATTGTCTTTGTTTTTTTTTTTGGGGGGGGACATAAAGATCAAAGAGAGGCATTTGGGCCACTGAAAGGAAGTTGCATCTTTAATAGAGCGCGTAAACTGTAAGCGCTCTCAAAGAGCACAGCATTGTGTCTGTTTATACATATATATCATAATTATACCCCTTGGTGTTGTTCCAGCGATTCAGGAAGTTTTTTTTATGTGATTTTTTTTTTTGGGCTTTTTTTTGTTTTGTTTTAAATTTTGTACATTGTTACGACTAATAAGAATAAATGCACCATCTGTGTACGTCTGCAATTTGTTTGGTCGTGTGTGTCTGTTGCTTTGCGGTAACTGCTGAAATTTGCAATTTAGAAACATGGCAGGTCGTGTGGAAACGCTCCTTTGGGTATGAACATGAAATTCATCTCTTTCTAACTGCTTGTTTGTTTGTGGGTTTTATTTTTTTATTTTTTGCTAGTTTTCATATGACTAACCCACCCACCTCCCCCCTCTCTATTTTTCACATTCTCCCCGTTGCATCTAATCCCCATTTCTTATCATTGTCATGTTTTTTTTTTTTTTTTGTTAATAATTTTTAAACCCTTCACCCTCCTGGTTCTTTGACCTCATTTTCAGTTTCTCACACTCTTGTCTGTTTCTCCACCTTTGTCTCTAGAATGGTAAGTCTCGTATCCCCAAGGCGAAAGAGAGGAGCAACGGGGCGCCTCTCATCCGTGCCAGCTCAGAGGACATCCCTGCAAGTCCGATGAACTGAGACCAGCTGAGAAATTTCGAGGCATGCACACATACATATCTAAGTGAACTTATCTGTATATGTACACAAAAATGAGCCTTGAGCTGGTTCTTCAAGGATTATGTAGATTTTTTTTTTCTTTTTTTTTCTTTTTTTTTTTTTTATATAAATGGTTTTACCTCTGCTGTGGGTTTACAGTTTCTGCAGCTACTGGTAGAAGAGATACACTCTTTGGCTGGAAGCTTCATAACAGCAGCTTGATCTTCTCATTTAAACACAAGCCCGCCACCAACACCTCCCCTGCACAGACGCGTACACATTGTTGGGATCACTTGGGCAACATGGGAGACACACGTGAGAGTTTCCTGTTGAGACATGAGTGACTCGGCAGTTTTTTGTTGTTTTTTTTTTTTTCCCCTCAGTGACAACAGTGATGGAAGACCAACACCTGGAAAGCTACACAGCAGACCGTGGAATAAATGTGTGAAAATGTGCAATCATAAAGAATGCGCTCTGTGCTTTAGTTATGAGCCACACAAGAGTAGTTTGCTGGCTACTCTTAGCTTAAGTTAATGTGATCCAAGTTGTTACCACTAGTGCAGTAAGTCCTCCTTAATAAATTTCGGGGTGTTTATTTAATTGCATGACCAGAAAG